AGTATGATACACCCATAAATATAATTAAAACAGAGGTGCAGGTGGTGGTGGTGTGGGTGGGGTGGGTGGGGTCGGGGGTGGTGGGTGGGGGTGGAGGAGAAAGAGAGGTGTGAAGCCACATCTGTGAAGGTAAAACTTGAGATGGATTCACCATATTTATCTCAAAGCAGCATTTCCAACATGATGGGCATAGCTGCTTACTGCAGGAGGTTATTACATGAAGTCTCAGGGGAAAATTAACTTGCATGTGTGATGGGTGCTACGGATGGGGCAGTGATTAGTGACCACATGCTTACGATATACGGAAGCATGTGATGGACTCTGCTTGAGTAGACTTCTCATGATTGTGGAAATTTTAATTGTTTTTGTCGCTTTTATTTGCAGACAGCTTTTTCAAGAAAGACAAAAAAATTATAAAACTGATACACATACCTGACAATTCTGTTAAATTTGCTTTCAAAATAAGTCACCATCTCATGCCAGACTATTGTTATCAGGTTATGAGGCAATGGTATGGGTTCTTAAATATTCAGACAAGTGCCAAACAAATATTTTTCAAAATGCATTTCTATAACCCATGGTAAAATTCCGACTAAATCCTAAGCATGTGTCTATGAATCAACAGCAAATATTGATTATGCCAGGTACAGCTAATTGTCTGTTGATAAATATATCTATATCTCTATATATAAAGAGTTAAAAAGAAACCTGACTTCAGCTATGTTACTGTACTTGCTAAGGTATTTCATGGCTCATTATTTTTTATTTTTTTTAGAAAAAAGAGTACTAATTTCTTTTTGAAAGCTAAAAAAGCTAAAATGCAATGTGTTTTTGCTGTTAGATTAACAGCAGTGAAGTATTTGATGTGAATATCAGTTCAAGCACTACACCACGTATTATCTAATGACCGACAGACCAAAGTTTAGAAATTGTTTTGCTGTGATATTTTGATGCCTTAAAATGTTTTCATTTCAAAGGAAATTATTATTTAATGACCATTGGGACTGTAATATATCACACAAGCTTTCCAATCAATTACTATCCTTTCTTTGTAATGTTGTGTTGATGACATGGCATTGATTATACAACTACACATATCTTTAAAAGAGTGTAAAAAAGCAGGATTCTTGTGCCAAGTGAAACCCCAGTGAGGTAAGCAGATCTAATAGTGAGTGAGTATGGTTTGACGCCGCTTTTAGCAATATTCCAGCAATATCATGGCGGGGGACACCAGAAATGGGCTTCACACATTGTACCCATGTCTGGAATGTCTGGAAACGCTTTAACCACTAGGCTACCCGACCGCCCCAGCAGATCTAATAAGTTTCAATATTTTTTCAAACCATTTAGAATGCAATCATGGTTCATTTACTGCTGATTGGCAAAGGACCTTAATCAATTGGGATAGCAGATATAAGCATATTCTGGCATGGCTAAGGGATGCAACTCTGCATATAAGAATTGAGGTCCTAGAGCATGTACACACATCTTCAAATTAGAAGCTGCAAATACAGTTGATTGTTTTCCACAATAATTTCTGTATCCATTAGTGTCATACACATACACAAAATATCCCAAAACATTTAATTTTCCACATGTTGTTTTCATTCAGCTAACAAAAGTACCGTATTCGACGTAATAAGCGCCCAGGGCGCTCTCAAAATTAGAAATAGGGGGCTCTTATTAGAATATTATTTTGAGTTGAAAAATCGTAAATTTCGTGGTTTATGCTGACAGCCTGAAATGTTTATATACGACAGAAATATTTTCAAGGATTTAATTGCCCATAATTAAGGGTGCATATAACATACGAGTACGTATTATACACAAATAAATAAGTCTTGTGTACGTAAAACCCTTGGAAGGGGTGCTAATTGAGATTGTTCACTAGCCAATATATTGGCAAATATCGCCGTGGTCGCTTATTAGAGCAGGGCGCTTATTACGTCGAATACGGTATATCAAATCATGCATACATTGTACATCTATGTTTGAGATATTTCAGCAGGTCGAGGAGATGGTATTTTCACAGACTTAATCTACTGTAAATTTGTCATTTTATTTGAAATATTGTAGAAAGTAAGCCTGAGTCAAAGTAGACACAATTTATGGTAAACAACTTCTTTAATCACTGTAAAGTCCTTTACAGTAAGTCAAGAAGTTGTTATCCATAAATTGTGTCTACTTTGTCATCCGTCAACTTTTAAGTAATGTCTATCAAACAATTCAACAGGTAGATGATGTCTGTGAAACACTTGTTTATGATAAACATAACATTCTGACAGTGTCCATTTACATCATGGAGACTCACGATACAGCAGTATCTCTCCTTTCAACACTTTTACTCTGAAAACATAAGCAAGATTACTAAAGCTGATATGACATGCTGCATGTAAACATTTTAGACAGATGGCAGCAGTTCATTCTGATCAGTAAACATACAGCGTCTAACAAGTTAAACGAGAAATGGAAAATTTATACCAAAGACAATCTATAGTCTTGTGTTAGATCTTGTGTCAAAAGATGAAGAAGTATGTATTTCAACATATAAAATACAGTGATGTTTTTAACTGGATCTTAGCTCTTGTAAAAGCGAGGTGAAATGGGGTTTAACGTTGCTTCCAAGAATATTGCACTTACATAGCAACGTGCCTGCAGATGTGTGTGTGTGGCTGCTTGTACTAGTCTGGACTAATGCCGATTTATAGTGCCAGCCAACTGAGATACCATGTCGCAACTGAACATGAATACCCCACTCAGACACAGTATACTGACTCTGAGCCGACCAGTCCTTGTTTTAGCCCCTTAATGCCGAGCGCCAGACAGGGTAACAACAAGTACCATCTTTTGGTATGACACGTCCGGGGATCGAACCCCGGACCTTCCACTCTTCGGGCGGACACTCTACCACCAGACCACGGAGGCAGTCCTCTAGTAAAAGAATGGCCCTTGTAGTCACAGATAAATGTGAACATGTATCTAGAGTATGTTTTGGAAGAAGCGGAGGGAAGAAGTGGTTCCTTAGATGACTGTGCCACCATTGCTGATTTCCAGAAACTAATTTTAGTTAGTGTGATTGAAGCCAAAATACAGGATTTATGGCAGATATGTAATAGAGGTAGAAGTTTTGTAAGAATTACAAATTTTAGAAGCTTTATATAAGAATGTTTTGTGAACTGGATCATTTAACCTTTGCTATGTTTAAACTCTGTGAACAAAAAAATAATAATGTTCATATTTATACACACCAAATCTGCACCCCAAAGCATGTACAAAGCGTTGCACTATTACCCCTGTCAAAGGACCAGTGTGCATTTGATTTTCATTCTCAACTCCCTGGTGAGCACAAAACCTAATCTGCCTCTGATTAACAGTCACATTGCCATCTCATCCTGTTAGGTACCCCTCACTGCTGGTTCAACAGAGGCATGTGTCTTGCCCAAGGAGACACAATGTACTACAGTGTGGGGTAGGACCGAAGCCCTAGAAACTCAAAGGAGTCAAACTGCCAAAAGTGGTCAGCCATCAAACTACTCTCCGCAACTCTATTTACTAACTTCAGGTTAAAGAATATGAATTACAAAATGATAGCAGTAGCATTACCAATGGGACAAGTAATATGACAGCTATGATCGTCATATCTACAATACACTGAAGTGTCTGAAAGGGCTAGCCCCAATACAGCTCTGTTCGAAGTGACCAAAGGGCAATGCCGTAACTCTTAACACTGACATACGCTAATCGTAGCAAAGAGATAACTCAAAGGTCTATGAACATAGTAACTCGGAACACAGACTTACATTTATCATAGGATGGTTATCATGGAACGGAAGGGGACAAAGTGTATCTAAACAGTTGGTGTGAGGAGGACATCCCATAATGTTCCCATTTATCTCTTTACCTCTCCAGTGATACTCAGTAACATCCAAGAAGCATAGCGCCGAGGAATATAAGGTTTATCTCTCCACTACATAGAGCAGTCAGTGAGCCATATAGACTTCAGCCTTGTGAAGAACTGCTACCATGTAGATCTACAAGGCACATCTGCATGTCAGACAGGTAATCGTGCCAGATAACATTGCCAACTGTTTATCATCGACTTGAGGAGTTTATCCGTCAGCACACAGTTGTTAAGCTGGTCGTGTGGTATAAAATAATATTGGTTTGTGGAACATATGGAGTGAACTTTAATAAGGAAAACATGGTTCCTGTTTCTCTGAGTACAAAATAGCATCATGTTTTTTGGTGCTGTGGAATAAATTCGACATAATCAAAAACAGACATGACAGAACTTTAACAAGTTCCGATAGTTTGAAAACTACTCTCATGGATGGACAGCATTGCCCACGCACTCTGCCCTCATAACCTGAATGTTGTGTTAGTGATCTCATCTTACAAAACATTATGTATCTATGTCAAAACGCTCTGAATCATATTGACAATTTGGGATAGATTCTCCAACTTAATTTCCTCAAGGTCAGCATTTCTTCCAATTTCTTTTTCAACATACGTTCGACAAATGCTTACAGTTATCTCAGTTAGGTTTTCATTTGTTTTGTTATTCATATACATTTCTGTTACTCTCCATCCCTTTGATAGACTATTTTAGAATTATCAACATTTTCCCCAAACCAATCTTAAAATATTTACAAAACCTAAAAACCCTAAAAGTCAATAACATACCAACAATCTAAGTTTCCAAATAAGATACACAAGTCATAATTGTAATCAGTAGCAACTGTCGGATAATTAAACTAACAATTGGTTTTTTCCACTTTATTCACAACGAAAACAAGGACAGTCGATCTTAGCAGTGTTCTTTAAATCTATTCCTCACATGAAATGACCAACAGCAGCCAATCCCAGTTGGGATACCTTATTGAGGATACATGCCACAAAAACAGGTAATAAACATGACCTGACACCTGTGAGACAAAGCCATTATTCCTGTAGGTAACACACATTTGTTTATGTGGGTAGAGATTTGTGAAGCGACTTACCCTAGTTCTGTCAAGGGGGTTGTTGAAGTCGAAGCCGGGAGACACAAACAAGTATCCGCATTTTGACACTTTCCGTGACGCCTGAAACAAATAATATATTCATTACACTCATGATAAATAAACCACACAGTCTTAAGTGAAAACATATGTCATGTACATGAATCTAGAACTTCCTGCTTGTACAATGTCACTCCCTACATCATTGCTGGACAAGACGGGAATTTAGAATTCAAAAGATCTGTTTAACTATTAACTTTTCACTTTATTCAAAAATTAATTTGGATTTAATTTTATTGATCAAGTGATGGCTACCATATAGACATATCTGCTAGCTATTAACATTGTTCCGCTTCTTTATTTGTATATTTGTGTATATGAGTAAGGGGCCTACCAGGTAGTCAAGTGGTAGAAGTGTTGACTCATCATGCCAAAGACCTGGGTTGGATTTCTAACAACATGTGAAACTCACTCTTCAACAACCCATGCTAATGCCGTAAAAGGCAACTATGCTTGTAGTAAAAGGCTACTATAGTTGTCGTAAGAGGTGACTAACAGGATCCGAAGGTCAGGCTGACTGACTTGGTTGATGCACGTCATTGTACCCAATTGAGTGGATCGATGCTCATGAAGTCAATCACTGGATTTTCTGGTCCAAACTTGATCATTTACAGACCACCGTCATATAGCTTGAATATTGCTGAGTATGGTGCTCAACAACAAACAAATGTTGGAGTATTGCTACAAGCAATCATACTCACTCATTCACTCACTCAATCAATCATCAAACATAATTCATTTTCCTACATTATTAAAAAAATCATTTTGTTTCTGCCTTTCCCATTTTGTCATGCTAATTCTTTATTTATTCATTTACAATACAACCACCAAACATCATTTGTCTCTGCCCTTCCCTAATTGTGAGTGAACTAGCCCACTCTGCTATGTCCTGGTGAGTGTGTGGGCCGATCCAAGGTCGTTACAGGTGGGTGTCCCGACACATAGAGGACTGACACAACATTCCACACTGCACTGTGGCGGTGGATTCCTGTGGTCAACCACCGAAATCTCGCAGTGCCTACTTCCTGTCTCTAAGAGATCGCACTTGCAGCAATTTCCGCCATGATGATATTATCTATTGACCCATCTAGGCATGAAATAACCCTGCTCCAGTGCTTTTTCAGCACAAAATTAAAAACTATTTTTGATTAAGTTCTACATTGTGTTCTGTGTTAAATAAAACTCAGGCAAGTTCCTAATGAAATAAAAACAGTAAATCAATATTCCCATGCTTCAAAATACCGATACATCCCACCATTCTCTGACAATTGATCGCTAATTACGGTGCCGCAAACGTGCAAGATGAAATGAGGTAGAAGTTGTTACATCTTCATCCTGTAGGGTTATCAAAGCCTTGATTTCTACAATACATCAAACCAAACGTGTAGAACACGGAAAAGCTTTAAACTTGTTACATGCACTTCAGTGTGTACGGTGGCGTCACGTTGCTTCAGCACCACCTAGAGTAACAGAATCACTTTAACATTGCCCGCATACCTTCAGCCTAGGGCTTGTTTTTACTGCTACTTGATTTGAAATTTTTAAGATGTTTTGAACACATTGAAGGAGTTCTGTTATTTACATTCTTGAGACCTTGTGACTATTTTTAGGATAGTATCTGAACCAAATCAAATAAAAAACATACACATTTTGTTTATCAAGATGAAACAATCATACTAATTTAAGGGCACCTTTTTAGTGTTACTTTCATTTGTGTAAGTCTTTGAAAGGCATTTGGAAGTGATGCACAAAAGGAAATGAATTTCTGGATGTCAACTTTTTTATTATGAAGGTCACAATGTTTTGGAGCTTCACCTGATGAAGGAGTAAGTATATAAACTGCGAAACATTGTGTTCCTCATAATAAAAAAGTTGACATCCATAAATTCTCTTCCTTAACATGTGTGTGTTTTCCACTCCATACAAAAATATGAATAACATTTCCACAAAGCCATCTAAAGAAGCATTTATTATTGTTTTTTATCAAATAATGAACATGTTTCAATGTTTAAAAGCAGTGTTTTATATGATTATCTAAAACACTATTTTTTCAAAAAAAGAGCAGTATTCGTAATGTTATTCTTTATAATCAAAATCCAAGGCACCATCAAATGTATGTCAGTTTATACATAATGTATAAATCATAAAAATCCTTTACCAAAAACCTTACACTGCACAGCATGTTCAAAATGTGAAATGTGAAACCTGAGTGTCATTATTTGGTACATTAACTCTAACTGTTTGTACTCAACCCCTTGTGGATTTATATGTGCAATGAAATTATCTTGTCTAACCTTAGAATTGATTCTGTTGGGCCTACAGTGAGTATGTTTCTACACCGTCTTTAGCAATATTCCAGCAATATCACAGCGGGGGACACCAGAAATGGGCTTCACACATTGTACCCATGTGGGGAATCGAACTGGCGTGACAAGCAAACGCTTAACCACAAGGCTACCCCACCACCCCTGTTGGGACTAAAATGCTACATCATCTTAAAACATATAATGAGAAAATGTAGAGTTTCACTGTATATAACAATATATGCATAAATGTATGTATATAAATAAATAACCACGTTTCTTACACAAAAATGACAAAATATTGAATTACACACAAAACAGTCAGACCTACACATTTGAAGGTCACATCTTTTTTAAGAAGAAGAAGTTTAATCGGTATCAAAGTCCGCATGGCCAAGAGTACAATACATGACATAAATCCTTTAACCATAATAGAAAGAAACATTTTGCAGTATTTCCAATCTCATTAAAATCAGATCTTAGTTCTCGCTACTGCTAAACAAAGATCTGAGGACATCCGACCTTGCGCGAACTTTGACTGACCAATGGAATGACCAATCAGAAGGCAGCTTTCTCGTGCTTTATGGCACTAATTTCAAATTGGCGACTACGCTTCGAAACATATTTTGACAAATTCTCGATTACAAATTTGAAACCTGAACAAAAGAACATTCTGGAATGGCTAATAGATGGTCTAGATTGTATGAATTCAGTCGTTAAACCCGTAACTATCGTTCGGAGTTAAAGTTTTCGAGGTTGCATGATTAGAAATACATTCCGACTGTCACTTTCATAATCTGGTAAGCGATGCTCTGATTGGTCGGATGAAAGGTCGTTCTGACGTGACCCCTAATGGGATGTCCTCAGATCTTTGTTTAGCGGTAGCGAGAACTAAGATCTGATTTTAATGAGATTGCAGTATTTCCAAATCAATTGAAAATTAACAAAACCATTGTAACCCCCATGCATGCATTATAATGATACTGTGCCGTACACAGTAGCTATCAGCCTACAGGCAACATCCCCACACCTGGGTGGTCAGTGCATGATGCATGGCATAAACCGAGTGGCTGTCCCTGTTTACATGATATCGGCCCAGTCAAATGTCAGTGTCAATAGTCACATTGATATATACACCAATCACTGAAGCACACATGCTTGCTCAACTATAACCTTTAGGAGCTCGTGCCTTGATAGTTTAACCATATTGACATGCATGCTTGGTAAATAAATACCCATCTAGAAATAGGCCCAACGGTCACAATAATCTATTATAATCATTTGTCGGTCTGACAAATCGGTGCTGTTTACCCGAAACACTATATATCAAATTAAGCCATGCTAACTGTAGTTAAAATACAATATAGCGCAACAAGTGCCAAAGCGGCCATTACACATTATTTTCAACTCTGACATAAAACATGAGAAGTAAATTTCTACTGAAGGAACATTTGTTTAATATCCATGTCCGCTGTGACACAATGCATTCATTCAGGTTAATAGGTAGATGTTGAACTTTGCATGGGTCTGTAGAATGGCTATAACCATATTGTTGGTTTCTGCTCTATTATGCTTTCACGTGTCATGTAAATCATTATCATTCCTTCAACGTGACATGCTGGAATATCAGTCCGTTCTATAATTAGCTTACAGTTTATTTTCTGTTATACAGATACATCATCGAATAAAACCGACAAAAAACATTTCCGTAATCATAAGAAATCTCTACTATAAGCAGAGTCCATTGTGCGATTCTTAGACACATTTTTGTCAATGATACACCAAATTTGGAGTGAGTGAGTGAGTGAGTATGGTTTTACGCTGCTTTTAGCAATATTCCAGCAATATCAAGGCGGGGGAAACCAGATGTGGGCTTCACATATTGTACCCATGTCGGGAATCGAACTCGGGTATTCGGCATGACGAGCGAACGCTTTAACCACTAGGCTACCCGACCGCCCACATCAAATTTGGAAATGTCCTTCCTACGTCTACCATCAAAATATTCTGAAGGCTTTACTGAGGCCTTTAATGTTGTAACCCTGACTCACCAATTTTCGAGGAAGAGTTATACGACAGATATATTCAGATGTGAAATGCTTTCATACATAAATGCTACAGCTTCCACTTGCAGGTCTTGATAAGAGTGAGTGAGTGAGTGAGTGAGTGAGTGAGTGAGTGAGTGAGTGAGTGTGTGAGTGTGTTGAGTTTTATGCTGCTTGCAGAATTGTACTCATACAGACAATCATACACTTCAGTGAGCAATGACGTACATGACTACAAAGAAATTCAAAGCAATTGAACTTGCAATGAAATCTTTACTAAGTACACCAAACGTACACTTGAAATGGGTGTGAAGTCAGACATTACTATTTTAACTGAAAAAGCGGTTTTAACGTCACAAGCGGTTACCTACAAATAGTTTATCATTGTCAAAATAAAGACCAATGTATGTATTCCATAATCGGATTGTGAAACATATTCTCATCAACACGCTACGGGAGTTATTCTTCCTGTAAGAGTGAACATCAAATTGGCCGTAACCGTAACAAAGCTCATCTTACACAAGAACAACATAATGTAACCATGGTAACATTACAGAAGAGGACGTTCATTTCATATTTACACAGTTGAAGGTCACATCTTCAACCAAAATAGAAGGAAAGCAATGTTTTTAAACAAATTTCCTTAAAATTTGCTTTTAAGAGCATATCTCCAAAG